TCCTCCTGCGCCTCACGTGGTCATCAGCAGCTCAGAGGAAGAACCAGACACTTTGCCAAAAGGAGAATCAGATTTGAAGGGAAACCCAACAGGCCAAAGTGTACATGTGAAAGACGTTTGGCTTGATAGTAGTTCTGAAGATGAGACCGAGGCTGTAAATGGGGAAAGAAATAAGGCTGTTCACTTTGCACCACTGCAACAACGTCACAAAACAGGGCTGAGTTCGGAAGGGGAGACGCAGAAAGGAAAGTTAGCAGAGGATATGAAGATTGGCAGTAGAGGACAAGAAGAACTGGAGGGAAGAGAATCAGAGCACGGGTTGATGTCAAAGCCTGAGGGTGCTGCTGCTTCCAGTCAAATCACATTATCGAACAATCCCTCTGCTGCACTGCGTGTGAAAGCTCTCAGTGCAGAGAGGGAGGCGGGACATGCTGTGCTGTTAAAGCAGGAGAGCAATAAGGTGATTGAAGCTCTAGAGGAGAGGAATGGAGATGATGTGAAGTTGCAGCGCAGCGAGGAGAGCGACTCAGAAGGTGCAGTAACAGTCAGGGTTAAGATCCCACATTTTTGTGTTATTGGGCAAATATTAACAAAAAGTGCTCTTTTCATGTTTTCCCAGAAAGCTTCATCGAGGTGTCAGATGAAGAATTTGAAGAGGAGGAAACAGATGATTCACTTGTGATTACTGGAGTCAAAGGACCTCCGGATGAGGTCAATAAGGCCGGGACCAAGCAGGAAGAAGAGTCCAAGAAAGGTTTGACAGAGGTTCCAGCTGCTGCTTTACAAATAGAGAAAGAAGAAGAGAAGAAAAGACAGAGTGAAGAGGAAGAGTTAGAGGAGGGCACAGAGACAGAATCCAGCTCAACTCTAGCGGTCAATGAATGGGAACACTTTGATGTGGTAAGCATTCCTGCCTGCGAGAATTTGACCTCAATGTTAATACCTATTTTAAAGTTAATGCATAATTAATCCCCCCTCTACATAACGCGTGCGTGCGTGCGTGCGTGCGTGCGTGCGTGTGTGTGTGTGTGTGTGTGTGTGTGTGTGTGTGTGTGTGTGTGTGTGTGTGTGTGTGTGTGTGTGTGTGTGTGTGTGTGTGTGTGTGTGTGTGTGTGTGTGTGTGTGTGTGTGTGTGTGTGTGTGTGTGTGTGTGTGTGTGTGTGTGCTGCAGGAAGATCTGCAGGCTCTGGAGAGCTCTCTGCAGGTGGAGCAGAGCAGCCTGAGGGAGCTGAAACAGCAACAAGAGAGGATGGCCAACACAGTCACCGGGCAGATGCAGCTAGAGAGCCAGGTGAACCAAAGACAGCACTTACAGACACATTTTAACCACACAAGCACTCCACCCTCACACCTGAGATATGACAATAGAGAGAAGACGCCTACAGAAGTCGTAAGGCCAACAGTGGGATACATGTATCTGTGCAGAGTATTACTTCCCAATCTTTGATGCAAGTGTATGTGTTAGTGTGTCTGTCAACTCACTCACACTCTCAGATGTCACACACTGTCAGCATATTCTCTTTTTTTAAATCCCCATGTAATTTAAAACCATAAATGGCCAGTTCTTTATTAAACTCACTGGCTGTTTGGATAATGCTGCTAAGAGCCAATGTACTTCTTAGATAACTACAGATACTCACACATTATAAAAAGGTTGTAGGTCAGAGTGCAGTGCAAAAGATCATTTACATCCTGGCAAAAGGTTTCAGTGTTGTCAGAAGTTTCAGTATGGACCAACAACAGTTTTGGACATTGTGTCTTGATAAATACTTTTTGTGAATAATATGCTTCCCTCTCTGGTTCCAGGAGCTGCTGCGGCTGTTTGGCGTGCCGTACCTGGTGGCTCCGATGGAGGCCGAGGCTCAGTGTGCGGCACTGGACCGCGCTGACCACACTAACGGGACCATCACAGACGACTCCGACGTGTGGCTGTTTGGAGGGAGACACGTCTACAGGAACTTCTTCAACCAGGACAAATATGTTGAACACTTCCAATACAGTGACCTGCAGAATCAACTGGGTCAGTGCTTTCAATCACATGTTTTTAATAGTTTGCACTTCAATGTTTTAACAAGTTTAAGAAAAGATTTCCTTTTGTCCTCTTTTTTTTGTTAACTGTTAAACTGGTCTTAGATAGATGGATAGAATCGGAGGATGAAACCTTCTTTAATTCTCACACAGCGCACACAGTGACATTTGACCCCATCCTAGTAGTAGGAGCAGTGTACAGCGCCCGGGTTAGTCCTCACTCCTATTTAGGTCTGTTCGGGGAATTGAACCGGCGACCCTACGGCTCACAGTACAAGCCGGACTTAGTTTCAATGTATATTCTATAAGATCATATGAGAGCAATATTCCCTTTTTTTATTTGATTACTGATGCTAAATACATTCAGAAAACCTTTTATATATTTGTGGACAGATTTCGACACTGTTTACATTGTTCCAATGACTTGAACTCTTTAATTTTAAGTTGCAAATGATAATGTGGTTTCTGTCTCCCTCTCTGTCTCCCTCTCAGGTCTGGACAGGACTAAACTGATAAACCTGGCCTACCTGCTGGGCAGCGACTACACAGAGGGTCTGCCGGGGGTCGGGTATGTGACGGGCATGGAGCTACTGAACGAGTTCACAGGGCCGGGCTTGGAGCCACTCACACAGTTAAGGTCAGTTAAAGAGGTTTTGATCTTGATGTATTTTATGGTATGCGTGTGCAGTCTGCTTATTCATCTTTGTTTTTATTTCTTCATCTTGATCATCCTGACATCTTTTTCTTTTACTCTTAATCCCTCCAAGCTCAATCTACTGTGACTGTAAATACATGTATTGTCAAGGCTTATTTATTCATCTCTTTATGACATGTTTGAGGCTCCAGTAGTTTTATATTTACCTGTGTAAATATGGAATTTGTTAGACAGTAACTATCCTGGTCAAAATCTTTCAAATACAATATTATCTTGATTATTTCCTTAATTAGCTCTGTGGCTCAAACATTTCCATTAACTGATGGTATGACAGAAAACATGTGTTATGATTAAAACAATATCAAGTTTTTGAACAAAATGTTGTAGGTTTAAAGATTGAATCACCTGGTTATTGTTTGTTTTCTGAAGGGAATGGTGGTCAGCGGCCCAGCAGAACAAACGTCTGTCTTCTGATCCTCGGGACACAAAGGTGAAGAAGAAATTGAGAACCTTGAAACTCCATCCTGGGTTTCCTAACCCTGCGGTGGCTCAGGCCTACCTGCAGCCTGCTGTGGACCAGGCCGACAGCTTCTTCAGCTGGGGGCGGCCACAACTCGACATGATCAAAGAATATCCTTTCTCTCTGTGTCTGTCTGTGTGTGTGTGTGTGGTGTGTGTGTGTGTGTGTGTGTGTGTGTGTGTGCGCGTGTGTGTGGTGTGTGTGTGTGTGTGTGTGTGTGTGTGTGTGTGTGTGTGTGTGTGGTGTGTGTGTGTGTGTGTGTGTGTGTGTGTGTGTGTGTGTGTGTGTGTGTGTGTGTGTGTGTGTGTGTGTGTGTGTGTGTGTGTGTGTGGGTGTCCTTATTTATTATATTTATGCAGTTTCCCTAACCAGTCTTTTACATTCTGTCTGAATCGTTTTGGCTGGAGCAGTCGGAGGACAGAGGACACTCTTCAGCCTGTGATAAAGCAGCTGGACACCCAGCAGGTAACCAGGAGTACTTTTGCTAAAATAGATTTAAGAAACATCAACATGTTCGAGTTCGGGGAGCACCGTTACCCTTGTTGAGCCGTGAAGGAGAGAGACAGCTTTGAATGTTGTGTTTAAAACCACCATCGACAAATCCTACTCATAGCCTTCAACTAAAAGTTATAGAAAAATTGTTTCAACATCCAGTTGCAAATGAGGAAGTAGTACAATGCACACTTATGCAAAGCAGAAACATCTTAATCGTTCCTACATCATTAACACTTTATCACTGTTCTGGTTTAGACTCAGCTGCGGATCGACTCGTTCTTCCGCTTGGAGCAACAGGAGAAGCAGGCGATCCGCAGCCAGCGGCTCCGCAGAGCTGTCACCTGCATGAAGAGGAAGGAGAGGGAGGGGGGAGACGAGGGAGAGGACAGTGAGGAGGACCTGCCATCCCCATCCCCATCAAAATCTAAGAAAGGGAAGGCACCAAGCAAGAGTCCGAAGAAAGTAGGAGGAGGAGAGAGAGAAGTGGGGAGGTCCATGTCCGGAGGAGGGTTTCTGGGGTCGGAGGAGGTTGTTGAATCTCCTCCTTCTCCTCCATCTCTGAAGGATGTGAGGAGCAGCAGACAGGAGTCTCTGCCAGTGAAGGTCGTCCCCCAGCCTACTAACACTTTACCTCAGAGAGCCAGCAGCAACAGCAGCTCTGGGGAGGACAGCGATGATGGTGGCGGTGAAGTTGCTATGGTTACAGCCCGATCTGTGTTTGATGGCGGCCGACGAGGCCGTGGAGCAAAAAGCACGAGGGGGAGAGGAAGCACGAGAGGAAAGAGAAGGGGGAATAAATCGTGAGGGGGAAACTTCAAAAAGGCAATGGGGAATATGTCATTCATTAAAAAATGTGATATTTATAAAGGTAAATAATGAATCATGAACAGTAATGAATTGAGCTTTCTCTGTATTAAGAATATGTATTTTGTAAACTGTTGATGTGACTGAAAATAGGCTAACTGTTGTAATTTGAATATCTGGCATTAAATCTTTGAGTTAAAGGTGTCTGTAGTTGAAGTATTTCCACAGTAGATGTCAGTTTGGCTCAGAATTCAGCCATTTGTCGTGCCAATTTATGATTGAGACAGGTGCAAGTCTTGACATCGCTTACATTTCCTTCAGGCACTCTTAAGTTTTTCAATAAGTGCACCAAGTATATTTGAACTTTTTGTTAAATTGGGTTTTTTTGTGGTCTTTATTTAAACATGACCCCCACCCCTTTTATCCCTTACTCCAGTCCATTAGCTGGACAGAGCAGCTGTCTCTGTCAGTCATGCTGCATCAGAGAAGGTCTAAGCATGCCCACAGAGGGCTAGAAATGCCGGGTGGAGACAAGTAGTTTGGAAACACTGTATTTCTGTGTAACTTATCTGGATCTATATTTACCCAAACCCTAAGGACGTAATCCAAGACTACAGACAAAAACAATAGTTGCTGTTAAAGAATTTCTGTGTGGGGCATTCCTTCCCTCCTGCTTGGACTACTTTAAGCATGGACACTCAACAGTCCAATGCCAGGAAGGAGGACTCAAAGACCAAAGAAGAAGGTGAGACTTTGGAGTAACACAACATAAATCTGAACATTTGTCAGTGCATTTGGTTACTGCTGGCAGTTTGGCACAGGTTTTACTTTTTGTGGAACAAGTTCATAATCTCAGGGCAAGTTATTTTTACTTGCATGCCAAGTTAAATTTAAATCATCTGAAAATCAATCTAATTTTAGAGCTTGTGAGACCTGTGATTGTGTTGAAATATGTAGCCTATTACATATAACCATCTGCATCTCTGCTGGTAACAACACAAAAGTTATATTTATATAGTGGGCGATAAACAGCTCCAGGGCATTTCCGACCTTTGAATTGTTCCTCTGTGCTCCCCCGACCTTTTGGCTAAAGTATGACATAACTGAAGTTGTGCGCTCGGAGTAACTGTTATCACTGACGCACATAGCATGAGTCTGACACACTGGCATTATCAAACAACAGGATAAGAGAGCATTATAGGACTTAATGTGATTCATTTATAGAGCAGAGAATCAAATCTGTAATGTGATATGAGTGAAACAACACGATTACTCATCTGCTCGATTTAAGTCTGGAGTATTTCAGTGCCACTTTTAAGTGTTGCAGGTCGAGGACAAGATAAGTGAAACACCTACTACACTCACACTCTGGAGGAGGCTTTGTGTTATCCCCTAAAAAATGTCTATTAAAAAATTCAAATGTCTTTCCTGATACACTGACACTGTTCATCTGGGTGATCCACAGCCCTCACTTTGAACACTTTTACTCGAAACTATTGCAGTACCTAACTGTATTCACATAAAGAAAGTTCAGCCATCATCGACTGATTTTTGGTCAGTTGGTCTTTGGTGTCACAAGGTTTTAATCCACGAGGAATTCAATTGAACTCCTTATATCAGAAGTACCAATGCAGTTTCACAGGTGAGAAATAGTCAAACAAAAAACTGAGTAACAAATAAGTTGAGGTGTTGGATCAGTACCACTTTAATACCTGGCAAGAAATCTGAAAAATGTTACATACCAGACAGGGAAACAGAGGTGGCAACGAAGAGTGGTGCTCAATAGATGGGAATAAACTGCAAACACTTCAATCTTTCATGTAGACTTCTTGCAGCAGGAAAAGCACAGGTGGAACTAATAACTCACCACCATTTAATTACAAATGATGCCAGTGTGATTTATTACACATGTGTATCTCTATGACGTCAAAATGTCTGTTTTTAGATTCTGCTTCCACTCACAGGGTCACAAGTTGTGAACTCTGTGTAAACATGTTTCTTACCTCTCTCCCGTGGGTGCCTGATCAGATGCTGCTGTGGATGCAGAGCTAGCCAAAGCCATAATGTCTCGGAGTTTCCACCCCTCCATCCTGGGCCCTGAACCCTGGGAGGGATACATCTTCTCTGATCTGGAGATCCGTATCAAAGAGTCCACAGACCTCTATGGAGCAGTTCTCTGGCCCTCGGTACGCCCGAATGTATCCCAAATATTCAGCTGCTGTAGCTGTCATTTACTTTGAGCCCTGCCAGTGAACTAAGAACATGTGTTCCCAACAACAGGCGATGGTGTTGTGCCATTTCTTGGAGACCAATCGTGATGAACACAACATGATGGATAAAAATGTGATTGAACTCGGTGCAGGAACCGGGCTCGTCTCCATCGTGTCCAGCCTGTTGGGTACGGAAACAAAACACTCCATTGATTTAGTTTTTTTTTTTAAATGTTTACCACTTCTGCTTTTTGTATTTATTTATTTCAACGCTCAGCTGCTCTGTCTGTTCAGGTGCTAAGGTGACTTCCACGGACCTGCCCGATGTTTTGGGAAACCTCCAGTACAATGTCATGCGCAACACTAAGGGCCGATGCAAGTACATTCCTCTGGTAGGTTACCTGTTCAGACATCATATTGTCGGTTTATGACATATTCAATATATTTTGAATATCCAGCCAATGTTTAGTTCTCAAAAGAGCCATCAGAAATATGTGTTTTTTTGTGACTTGTTGATTTTTCTGTTTGGCTAATGGACCAACGATAACATTTACTTCATCATTCCTTGAAATTGTGTAGCTAACCCGAAATGAATAATATGAAAAGCAGCCTAAGAGTGCACTTTTTCAGTATAGAAAGGGATTTAATAAACCTGTTAAGTACCATATAAATCAACCCTGTTTCTGCTCTGTTTCCAGGTCACAGAGCTCTTCTGGGGTCAGGAGGTGGAGCAGCGTTTCCCACGTGCCACACATTGTTTCGATTACATCCTGGCAGCCGACGTGGTGTATTCCCACCCTTACCTGGAGGAGCTGATGGATACCTTTGATTACCTGTGCCAGGAAAACACACAGATCCTGTGGGCCATGAGATTTCGTCTGGACAAAGAGAATCGCTTCGTCGACCGCTTTCGGCAACGCTTCAATCTGGAGGAGCTGTACAACCTCCCCAGCCTGAGCATCAAACTGTACAGAGCCTGGAGGAGGGACGAGAGAGCGACCACTTCCTGATGGACTGTGTGTGTGTGTGTGTGTGTGTGTGTGTGTGTGTGTGTGTGTGTGTGTGTGTGTGTGTGTGTGTGTGTGTGTGTGTGTGTGTGTGTGTGTGTGTGTGTGTGTGTGTGTGTGTGTGTGTGTGTGTGTGTGTGTGTGTGTGTGTGTGTGTGTGTGTGTGTGTGTGTGAAGCTGAAAAAACATTTAGTAGGAGCCAATAATTCACTCCTTCATTTTATATCGTTATAAGTGATATCCAGGATGAGGTTACAGTCTATCGTGATTTCCAGAAAGCAAAAGCAGAGAAGTCCATAAGTGTCACTGGAGGCGAAGATAAATGGCTACTCGGCATCGTCACTAGCTCTTCTCTATTTGGCTCCCCCACGGACTCATCTTTGTTGTTTGTGAGTCTGTGTGTGTGTGTGTGTGTGTGTGTGTGTGTGTGTGTGTGTGTGTGTGTGTGTGTGTGTGTGTGTGTGTGTGTGTGTGTGTGTGTGTGTGTGTGTGTGTGTGTCCTAGCATTACTATACTTGTGGGGACCTACATCTGTTTACACAATCACGTGTGGGGACTCGCCTCCCATATGGGGACAAAATGGAGGTCCCCATGAGGGGGAATCATTCATTTTAGGGTGAAGACTTGGTTAGGGTAAGGGTAAGGTTAAGGGTTAGGGTTAGGCATGTGTTGGTTATGGTTAAGGTTAGGATAAGTCTCCAGGAAATGCATGTAAGTCAATGTAATGTCCCCTGAAGTGGTGTGTGTGTGTGTGTGTGTGTGTGTGTGTGTGTGTGTGTGTGTGTGTGTGTGTGTGTGTGTGTGTGTGTGGTGTGTGTGTGTGTGTGTGTGTGTGTGTGTGTGTGTGTGTGTGTGTGTGTGTGTGTGTGTGTGTGTGTGTGTGTGTGTGTGTGTGTGTGTGTGTGTGTGTGTGTGTGTGTGTGTGTGTGTGTGTGTGTGTGAAGCTGAAAAAACATTTAGTAGGAGCCAATAATTCACTCCTTCATTTTATATCGTTATAAGTGATATCCAGGATGAGGTTACAGTCCATCGTGATTTCCAGAAAGCAAAAGCAGAGAAGTCCATAAGTGTCACTGGAGGCGAAGATAAATGGCTACTCGGCATCGTCACTAGCTCTTCTCTATTTGGCTCCCCCACAGACTCATCTTTGTTGTTTGTGTGTGTGTGTGTGTGTGTGTGTGCGTGTGTGTGCGTGTGTGTGTGTGTGTGTGTGTGTGTGTGTGTGTGTGTGTGTGTGTGTGTGTGTGGATATGACAATGTTTTAATTCTTTATTCTTTATGTGAACTGTTTTCATGAATCTAGTCCAATTGTCTAGAATTATCTTCTACTTCTCATCTTCAGGATAGTTTGATATGCCAGAATATTGCAACATTAAGTTATGATCCATGTTTTTCAGATTTTGCTATTTGATTTACTGGTGTATTTATTTACTAAAACATGTAAATACAATGCCATAATATTACATATCACCTCATACTCCAACATTACCATTAAATTAAATCTGCCACAGTTGTATGTGTTGCTGATCTGATTATTAAGTGTCCTCTGAACACTAAGGGATATTTAAAAATGTTTCACATTTTCTTAATAATTTGGCAACTTTGTTTGGATATACATTTAATGTTTGGGGTTGGTCCCACTAATCAGGTCAAAATGCTTTTTTGTTTTTGTCACATGGCTGAGCTCCCCTGTGCAGGATCATATTCCGTTTTTAAAGCTGGTTGTCAGCCATCAGCAGCTACGCTCTCACATTTCAGGTCTTGGTTGATGATGTTTTGGTTCAGTCACCTCACAGCACTAGGGGTCAACATGGTTCTTGTTTTTCCCGTAGATTTCTGATGCCCCTATGCATTTTAGTTAGGAGGTGTGTTGCTGTTTAACTTAACATGTTCAGCATGTTTTAATCACTGTTTGAAGAGCTCGTTTCAACGAGAAGGTGAAAAATATATTTCAATCAAAGTATTGAAGGGTAGCCTATAATGTTGTACTCTGGGAACCTAAATACTGAAGGGCAAAGCTTAGGTTCAAAGTTATCAGCACAAAGCTGTCAACACTGTAGGCGACTGGTTGGTGAACATAGTGGAGCATTTAATGGCTAAAGAGACAAATATTTCCCAAAGGATTTGGTGGGGAAGAAAACAGAGCTAAACGGTGGACTCAACCTCACATTTATAAGTGCTTATTTTGCTCTGTGATGATTTACTGTTTAAATAGGAAACTGTTTGTAACTAGTATTGACATATTAATTTAAAAATATGATATGCCATCTAAACTCAAAATATTTTAAAGGCACTTTCTGGAAGCGTAATCCCATTTTATAGTTGGGACAGTAACATAGTTAAAACCAACACTTGAACAAAAAAACATTTAACATTTACCGAATGCCCTTACCAAATCTTACCATTTCAAAATTGTTTGCAACATTTATGTTTAAACCTATATGGAGTTATTTGGGTAGTATATGGATTTTAAACTTTCTAACTAATAGAGAGCAGAAGGTGTCTGTCAATGGACGCCTCTCTGACTCTGTCATCACTTCCACGGGCTCGCCTCAAGGATGCGTTCTTTCGCCCCTACTTTTTATAATGTACACTGATAAATGCAGGAGCATGCAAGACAACACCTGGTTACATTCTCTGACGATACCACCCTCTTGTCCCTCCTTAGCGGCTCAGAATCAGGCCACGAGTGTGCTCTTACTGATTTTATTTCCTGGTGTGATGACAGTTTTCTGGATTTAAATGTCTCTAAAACCCAGGAATTGATCATTGATGTTAGACGTCACAAGGATGTGCCTAAGGAGTGCATCATACACAATAACAAGGTAGAAATTGTTACATCATACAAATACTCAAGCACCATTTTCGATGACCACCTCAAATTTGATGTGAATACTGAGTGTATTGTGAAGCGGGGTCAACAGAGAATGCACCTTCTTCGCAAACTGAACTCTTTCTCTGTCAGGCCTTTCATTCTTTGTCGTTTTTACCAAGCATTCATTGAGAGCCTTATTTGTTTTTCTTTTATCTGCTGGTTCCATAGCTTTACACTGAAAGACAGGAACAGCCTGAACAGCATTGTTAAAACCTGCTCCAAGATCATCGGCGTGAAACAGAGAGACTTAAATTCCTTCTGTAACCAACAGATTCTGCGGAAAGCAGAGAGCATTCTGAACTCTCCAGGTCATGTTCTTTCACATGAATTTTGTCTGTTGCCATCAGGGCGTAGATATGCTCTACCTGCTCAAAGGACCAATCGCTTTTCTAAATCATTCATCCCTTCTGCACTCAAACTTTAAAATGATTGAAAGGCTTTTAACTTGATTATTTATTTATTATTGTGACGCTATGAACTATTTATAGTGTAAATTGGAATGATCCACATCTGTGCTCCTGGGTGTATCTGTGTGTTTTCTTCTTGTATGTTCCTGCCTGTGTACATGACATAAGCTGCATAACCAATTGCCCCTTGCGGGATTAATAAAGTTGTTGATTGATATCACAATACAAATGATTTAAAGAGGTCAAATTGAGAATCACATCCATATTTGACTGCTTAAGTAAGGTGAGTCACACACACACTTTGAATGTGAATGTTAGAGTAATCTGTTATTAACATGACCTATTTAATCTGATATCGAATGCATCATTCCAAGTCCTCAAACATTTTCTGTCCAGCCATTCTTGTGTTTTTCCCCCTGTGATGGATGTGTGACTGCTTGCATGAACAAAAGCTTTGTGAAGAACACGAGAGGCTATGTAAGCTGCGCAGTGATGCACAATGCAATATCACTGAGAAGACAAACAAATACTCAACAGCTGATGACTGTGTGCGGCCTTAAAGAGGTATAAGATAAGATCCCTTTAGATAAGGGACAACCCTTCACTCAGGGACAGAACAAAGATGCTGCCCTTCATCAGGCTTAAAAACTCTTATATTTATTCCAAATAAGGCTGCAACACATCAACACACATTTGAGCAATGACCTAACCACTGTACACTCCCCATCAACACTATCCAACCACCCAGAGCTCCTGGATGCACTTCAAGTTTTGGGATCTGAGTGGAATTAGTTTAACGATATCTGAGAAGGAATACTTTAAGGCCAAAGGCTGTGAATATGTAACCGAGAGATGGCTAATTTAGTTTATATTACAGGAGCCCCCTTCTTAGCTTAGAGGGGCAGGGGGGGGTAATGCATGTGGTTTGAATACCAGCCTGATCCTGTTACCTCCCATTTCTGGTAGAGCAATTGAGGACGTTGCAGGAAAAAAGAGCAGCATGGACACATTCTAGACTATGTTGTCATCTTTGAGTAATACTTTGCATGAGGTCTTTTCAAATGAGGCTTTTGGGTTCAAAATGTTTGTGTTTCAACTCACAATTCAAGGGCTTTCTGCCATGATTCTCTCAAGTCAAACACAAATCATGTATCTGTCTAGTTCTCTCTACGTTACTATTTGTAGACTACCAGGGGGATTACCATGACATGAGACAATTATCAGCTGAAAAAACATTTAGTAGGAGCCAATAATTCACTCCTTCATTTTATATCATTATAAGTGATATCCAGGATGAGGTTACAGTCCATCGTGATTTCCAGAAAGCAAAAGCAGAGAAGTCCATAAGTGTCACTGGAGGCGAAGATAAATGGCTACTCTGCATCGTCACTAGCTCTTCTCTATTTGGCTCCCCCACGGACTCATCTTTGTTGTTTGTGAGTCTGTGTGTGTGTGCGCGTGTGTGCGTGCGTGTGTGTGTGGTGTGTGTGTGTGTGTGTGTGTGTGTGTGTGTGTGTGTGTGTGTGTGTGTGTGTGTGTGTGTGTGTGTTTGTATCTAAATGCACTCTTACTTGTGTTGAGTTCTCCTGCAAGGGTCTAAAAATACCCCATGCCCTTGTGGTGGTGATGGGTGTGGCAACAGGATGCTCAGTCTATAACCTCAAAGTCAGAGGTCTCCGGATGCAATCTGATTTCTCCTGAGATTCTTCACTGGGAAAAAGAGCAGCAGCAGCAGGTAAGGTCAAAGGTCACAGGTAGTGGGTTTGAGAGGGAGGTTTTGACTATGTTTACAAAATCCCTGTAAGAAGAGGAGTACGGTATATTTTCAACATACTCTGCATTTGATGGTATTGTTGTATGATATTTTGTTATCTAGTTTTATAACAAGACTTTGCAAAGTATGTTTTGAAACGTTTCTCTCATGTAGTCTGACAGAAGATTATCTTTAAAAAAAATTAGTGTTTACATGATTTGTTTCATCAACTAGTGTTAGTTAATAAATAATGGTATAAACACATCAATTAAATTACAATACAAGAATGAAGGGGAGACATGCTGAACTAAAAGTGAAAATTACAAATATAATGTATTAATCTGTATTTATCTTGTTTATCCTGTAATCTGTTATATTTTGTTGTCAATTTAAATATTAGGATTTAGTATCAGAAATAAATATTTTGAGGATAATTTGAGGATAATCTGTCCTTTTCCAAGAGCAGGATCATGAATACTTTGCCATCATTAATTTCTTCGGCAAATTATCATATGATAATCGGAGAGAGAAGAGAGGAGGAGGAGGAAGAGGAGGAGGAGGAGGAAGAGGAGGAGGAAGAAGTGCAGCAGGAAGATGGGGGTGCCCAAGATAAAGAGGAGCAAAAAGGTAAGATGAATATGAGCAATAAAAAGCATTAATTTCCAAACTCGTACAGAGAGACCACAGAGGTCCTAAGTGTCTGATTGTTGTATCCTCCAGAGGAATCAGACATCAAGGAGCAATATAAACCAGCCTGGGCTCCGTGCTTCTGCGTCAGAATAGATAAAGAAGTGTACGATTTCGCTGGGCAGAAGATCAGCATCGAAGGGGCTTTGGACTCCTACGCAGGCACCGTTTGGCCGGGGGTGAGTAACATTTTTTAAAAACTTGCATTCACCAGCATTTGAAAGACACTACACCCTTACAGTTCCTAATACACTTTTGGATTATGGGGATGCTATTTATTGAGAAGCTATTGCTTTTATTCGGAGGTTGTTCATCAACAAAATAAACTCAAAGATGTTGAATTGTAAGTCATGTTTCCCTCAGGCTCTGACTCTCTGTCACTACTTGGACACCCATCGCCAACAGTTTAATTTAGTGGACAAGACAGTCCTGGAGATCGGAGCAGGAACTGGCCTCCTGTCCATTGTTGCTGCATTCCTTGGTGAGAGGTTCAAATTCAAGGTTAAACTTTAATAAAGAAAATGTCTGGAGGCATTGGAAGTTTTAATACATATTATACAAGTGCTTTAAAAGTAAGTAAAGGTTAAAGTGACTCTTGTGGAAACTAAGTTAAAAATCCTTGATTCATATTGCTACTTCAGAGGGAATTACTAAAACAAAGACAAAGAAAAATTGTTAAAATAAAAATAATTAGATAAAATGTGTACAATACATATAGAAAATGAGATAAAAGGAAATACAAATAGAGGTTGAAAATCCAGTTATTCTCAGTGTGTAATATGTTTCTGTAGCCATGTTGATGACAGATTATTGTTTCTGGATCATCAGGAGCCGCAGTCACAGCTACAGACCTACCTGAGGTGTTAGGTTACCTACTGGCCAACGTGATGAGGAACACCAGGGGCCGCTGCAGCCACACGCCGCAGGTAGCAGCTCTGTCCTGGGGCCACGACCTGCAGCGCTCCTACCCTCCGTCTGTCCATCACTACGACTACGTGCTGGCAGCTGATGTGGTCTACCATCACGACTTCCTGGACGAGCTCCTGGTTACCATGAAGCATTTCTGCAGGCCAGGAACTACTTTGATCTGGGCCAACAAGGTGAGGTTTGTGACTGATCTGGCTTTCACTGAGAACTTTAAGAAAGCTTTCAACACGAGTATGCTGGTTGAAGACGGAGAGATGAAGATCTTCATGGCTACGTGCAGAGATTGAGAGATTTCACAATGACCCCTACAGGCAGTACTCGAGTTGAGGGGGGATGGCATCCCCCCTGAAATAAAAACGGTCAAAATCATCCCCCTTCTAAAACTGCCATTCCCCCTTTCCATCCCTTATGTAATTTTATCAATGAACGTGGCACTGGTATTACTGCTATTTCAACATTAATTTTGCGCATTTTGAGTAAAATACTGTGGGCGAGGGAACACGCACACATGCAATGACATTTTTACCAAGTCACTGACGCTATGCTATGTGAGTGCCCTAGAGGGCGCCAGAGCGCCGTGATGCGCCTGTTTGATCGATGCCAGAAGCGCAGGTAACGGTCATCACCATGGCCAAGCAACCAGGAGGACAACGCGATCTGAAGGACTTCATATTTAAAAGTAGGCTACTAAAAATAACATTTCAGGTAAGTCAAGAGTCAGTAATCTTTACTCATTACTTTACTCACCAAAGGTGGAATCTATGGACATAAGCAGCAATAACAACTTAGTTTGGAGTTTAGCTATACGTTTTTCTCTCGTGTTAGCTAGCTGGTAAGTATGGAGGACGGAACATGACTTAAGTATAAATAAATAAATGTATGAAGAAATACAGGAATAAATAAATTACGTACATAAATACAGGAATAAATAAATAAATACGTAAATAAATAAATAAATACAGGAATAAATAAATGACGAAATAAATACAGAAATAAATAAATGTTGAAATGAATACACAAATAAATAAATAAAAGAATAAATGCATAAATAAATATGGAAATAAATACATCAATGTATAAATAAATAATGTCGAAAATAAACAGAACACACGTTATTATTATATATCTTTCATTTATTTCTACATTTACGCGACATACATTTATTTATTTATGTATTTATGTGTCCGTATGCTAATGAGGTGGGCGGTCCTAACCTCAGTCTGAAGCAGGATTCGCCAATTGTTGGAGCCAGGCAGAAGCAATAGATTTGTGGCAAGTCACATCATGTCGAGCTGAGCCAAGTCCTCTATACATCGTTCCACACGAAACTGGACATAGTCTTTTGGTTCTCCGTTCTCTAAATGGTCCGCTAATGATCGTAAATGATCTCCAATGGCTCTTAAATCAATATCCATAAATAAACCTTACAACTGTGGATAAACCATGGATGTATAAAGATAAGGGCTAAACAGTAAAGCTCCTGCATTCGAATCAGCGCGGTTATCCAGGCGTTAGTAGTAGAGCCCTCTGCCAGAAATGATCACACACTCCTGTAACCAATCCTGCTTCAGACTGAGGTTAGGACCGCCCACCTCATTAGCATACGGACACATAAATACATAAATAAATAAATGTATGTTGCGTAAATGTAGAAATAAATGAAAGATATATAATAACGTGTGTTCTGTTTTATTTTCGACTTTTATTTATTTATTTATACATTGATGTATTTATTTCCATATTTATTTATGCATTTATTTATGCATTTATTCTTTTATTTATTTATTTGTGTATTCATTTCAACATTTATTTATTTCTGTATTTATTTCGTCATTTATTTATTCCTGTATTTATTTATTCCTGTATTTATTTATTTATTTACGTATTTATTTATTTATTCCTGTATTTCTTCATACATTTATTTATTTATACTTAAGTCATGTTCCGTCCTCCATAGGTAAGACTCAAAACGGTTGATGAAATGATACCACCAGCACCAGAAGAGCTGAAACCCCTCCTTCAAGCAGTGAACACTCTGGTCATCTCCACAGCTGAGTGTGAACGTGGGTTTAGTCAGATGAACATTTTAACCACAACTAGAAGCTCCCTAGAGGTAAAAAGCATGTCAGCCTTGCTTTTCATCAAGTGTGTTGGCCCTCCACTGAACAAGTTCAGACCAGAGGTCTGTCAAGACTTGGCTTCAAAGCCATTGCTTAGCTAACAATCCGAAAGCAAGAGCCAGAAAAATTGAGACCAAAAAACATGATTATGAAAATCTTTGGAAACGTATATGAAATGGGGGAGAGTGGAGTAGGCAGCCATTGACAACATTGGTCCTATTTTGTATTATCTGTATAATCTTTTAATATATTTTCATATTTTGTAAACAATTTCAATTTGCACTTAATGCCCTGTTAAAAAAAGTAACAATGGGAATGTTAACATAAAATATTTGTATTTGAACTGCAATAAAATGATGACGGATCAATATTTTTCTAATTTTTTTCCTCAAATTTTTCATGAAGAATTGACATAATGATTTAATGAATAACGATACAAATGTAACCCTTTAGATACCAGTTTTGATCGTATACCAGTAACTGCTTTTTTGAAAAAATACACTATAATTCAATATTCTAAAAACTATTTTGACTTTATTATTAGTATAATCAGTTGGTCCATCTGAATAATAAATGAGGGACTGTTAACCTACAAGATTTGTACCATAGACTTCCATTATAACCACATTTGTGTATCCCCTCCCCCCCTTTAAATTAAAGTGAAAAAAAGATTTTGCACTAATTGTCCTCTGCATTTGACCCTAAATGTTAGTGGTGCCATGGCAGCCCGGGGACCGACTCTAATTCTGAGGTGCCTTGGTCAAGAGCAATGAAAGGAGTATCTGAACATCCATAACATGCATGTTGTTTTAGGAGTATAATAATTATCTTTATGCTGGTTGGTCTCCCACCCTCTGCGGGTTATCAGCACAAATGATGTCCCCATATGATAAAATCCACCATCCCCCCTGATTTTTTTTTACAACTTGAGTACTGCCTACAGGCCTCTGTTTGAATGTTTCATTATTAGCATTATTCTTTGGGAAGTGAAGGGCGAGAATCACAGCATAGTTGAGCTAATATAGTAAGTAAAACAACTTAAATTGTTTGGACAGCGCAGCTTTAAATGTTCAACCCGCATCACTTGTTTCCTTTTAGTGTTTCCTGTAATCTTTTGAATAATGATGATTACTATTTTATATTAAATATCATTAAATAAGAGTGTCGGTTTTGATCAGTAGTAGCAGAAGGCGAGGTCAGGGTTTACACATTTAATCTCTTCATTTCATATTAAACTAAATTAGTTCTGTTGAGTTATAATTGACCTGGATACGTTTTAATGATCAAATGAGGTTTTTACATGTTTACACTTTGGCCAATTAGCTCATAATCTGTGTTTAGTTGCAACACCTGGACACTTGCACTTTTTACTGCACGTCATCCCGGTCTAATACCATACAACCTTAAGAACACCATGTTTAACCTGATAAAGTCAAAACTGATAAACATAAGGTCTGAGTAAAGTTTATTCAAATCAATTCCATCATGTGTCTGTGAGGAGAAAAAAAAACGTATTTCCAAGAAAAAATGCTTGATTTCTGTAATTTTCCAGTTTGTGAGTTGTTCCAATATATTGACTACTCTATTTTTGATGTGACGGTATCCTTAATATTTAACATTTTAGATTGCTTTGAAACAAACACATTTGAATGTGTCGGGTTGGGTTGTGGGATATTTTAAAGTCAAAACAATTCATCAGTTAAATCTAAAAAAAAGAGTTTGCTTCATGTATCAGTTATGAAATGTCCTGTAATTGTTTGCATGTGAATTGTTAATATTTTAAACATATAAATACATTAAAAAAAATTGAATTGTTCCTTTGAAGAAAAGGTCCACCTGGCTGTTTCTTATTTAGAATGCAATGAAAAGTAAAATCGCTCACCTAAAAACACAACAGAAACACTGCTGAAAATCGTTTATGCTCAACTGACATGCAAGTGATGACGAGAGCACGAATCCTTTTTATTCAGTGTTGTGTTGTGACTTTTTTCCATGTGACAATAAAATAGTGTGACAGTAGCTCGTGTGTTTCCCATGTAGTCAAGGAAGAAGGAGTATAAAATTATACTAAGATCATACAACCTTATTTCATAACATTCTGTAGAATATTGGCATTTACTACATTTTATAACTACAATTACAAACACTCAACATCCAGAAGAAGTCTTTCCTGACACCAGCAGAGTGACAGCAACAGATAAAGAGTAATGGACGGTTCAGTCCTGCGGTGAAAGTGAAGGCCATGTTTGAGAGAGACTGTTATTGGCAACGTACTGTAGACAGGAGAGTCCTGAAGGTAACATCGGCACACATTCTGTTAACCCCAACTGACTGTCAGCCCTGCGCACTCAGAGGTGCTGACGCTGCTGCAGAAAGTGTCTGCGAGCCCCGGCTAAAAACAGAAACACAAGGTGTCCTTAACCCGGGGCAACATGGGCTGTGCCGCCTGCTGTGTGTTTATAGTTAGTACAGTTAACATCATCTCAGAAGAGATTGTTTAATGAAAGGCCTTGGCTTTCAAATGTCTGCGTTTACACTATGCATCTTTCGCGTGAGGTCATCAGATGTTATTTAGAGTTGTTACATGTAGAAGACGAGTGGTTCTCAGACTGGGTGGTTTGGGGCAAGTCCATTTCCTCCTATTGTATCATTGTTTTGCCTTTGTGTGTATTTAAACCAACTTAACACGGGGCAGTCATTCTTTGGTTAAACTGGTAACACTACAGACTGACAGAAAATCACTTTTTGTTTGTACAGATCCACACGCAAAGAAGGTCACAAATGTATAAGATTTCAAGTTGATTGCATCTTTAGCATGGTCCTCTTTAGCAAATACACTGTGAAAACTAACAGCAGTGTGTCCTCATTAGTAACCTGATCGTCGATGAGTTTCGCCTCACCTAAGATTCATTTAAGCCAAGCGTATGAGGAGCACTTTTGTACTTGGCAGATACTTTTTTTTCTGCCATTATATACGTCTCTGTGACATGGCCTGTAGAACCGAAACCCAGCCAGGTAGAACTAACAGAAAGCTCTTATGTCAAACTATTTCTGAATTTGCCAGAAATGTTTTATCTTTATGTAAAACCCCACTGTTCAAGGTAAATAGATGGAGAAATGCTGTTTAAGGGCCTTTAATGCAGACTTGGTGTTCACTATGAGAGTTTGAAAAGTCTCCTAAATAAAAGAAACAGTTGGTTGAGAAAACCCATTAAACATAACAAAAAGTCCTGTGTTAAATGGCTAGCCAAGTATTTTTTAAAAAGCTAATAAAACATACAAAACCACTGGCACAGTCCTTTTAAGTAAATAAGGTATCAGAGAACAAAGAAAACATAAATCCATGCTTAACCTCCTCCTATTGGCTACCATCAGTTCTGTAGGGAGAACATGTCATGTACACAAAGATATGCTCACAAGTAACACAAAGTCATTCACAAACACACACTCATGAAGACAAACAGTGGATTATCGTCAGAATCATGTTTAAAAACCTTTCTAATTGAAACAAACTAAAATCTGCATCCAAACAAACCATTGTTCCTTCTTACACCCTAGAAGACATGCATATATGCAAAATACATCAATTAGAATAATATTTGTTGTATATACCTATTGCATTTTTATATTTGCTTACGTTATGTGTGTATGTACATTATTTTATGACACTGTGTACAAGTGCAACATTGTGAATGCTGCAGAAAAACATCTAATACTGCGTAAACATTTTACATTGAATGTGGACATCCTTCCGCTCTCTCTAAACTGCATTTGTGATGTGAGTGAGGTCTGTAAATAAAGTTTTTCAAATGTGCTGCTCAGGTACCTGCAGTATGGAGTGAGGGGGCACACACATATGATGCCCTGAAAGTGTTTGTGGCTTCCTATTGGCTGACAAGTCACTGACGGGCACGGCATACTGCAGATAGATGAGTTTAAAAACACATTTGACAACAAAGGATGATGGGTAAAATTATTGTTTGCAGACGCTACTGGTTCTGCAGCCTTGCACTGTTTTTATCTCAACTGAAAAAAACTGTAAGGTACATGTAGAAAGGCACCCTTAATATTGTGTTGTGTACTCAAGTGAGAGCCTAAAGAGACAGACGAGACAACTTCATCAACCAGGCCTGGCTGAAACAGTCAAAAAACAAAAGAAGAAGTGTTCAAGTTCTGACTCCCTTTTATTTCAGGGATAGGTCAGACTGTGTGACCTCGTATGTCCGAACATCGTGCAGCAGCAAGTCCTCCTGTCTTCTAAGTATCATAACGGCCAGTTTTTCTGCTGTCCATTTTGAAAGTGAGGAGATAGTCATTTCTTTATTTTCTTCTGTAAAACACTTTGAGTGCGTCCCTGGAGTCCGCACTGGCCTTTTTCAATATTTAGATGAGAGGACGAGATGACCTATGTGATATGCAGTGAATGAGGTTACCTATGTGATATGGAGTGAATGAGGTGACCTATGTGATATGCAGTGAATGAGGTTACCTATGTGATATGCAGTGAATGAGGTTACCTATGTGATATGCAGTGAATGAGGTTACCTATGTGATATGGAGTGAATGAGGTTACCTATGTGATATGCAGTGAATGAGGTTACCTATGTGATATGCAGTGAATGAGGTTACCTATGTGATATGGAGTGAATGAGGTTACCTATGTGATATGCAGTGAATGAGGTTACCTATGTGATATGCAGTGAATGAGGTTACCTATGTGATATGGAGTGAATGAGGTTACCTATGTGATATGCAGTGAATGAGGTTACCTATGTGATATGCAGTGAATGAGGTTACCTATGTGATATGCAGTGAATGAGGTTACCTATGTGATATGCAGTGAATGAGGTTACCTATGTGATATGGAGTGCGGTGAGCTGACGACGAGCGGGATGTGAAAGCCTCTAAATGTGTATCTGACACCAAAATAAAAAAGGACAACAGCCAACTAAGAAAGCACCGAGCTACAGTATCATCAAGCCTTGGCAATGGTTTAAAACATTTAAAAAATATAAACTGAATGATTTGTTTTGTCTGTGATGACAAGACATTTAAAGACAGGACGAGCGTGATCCCCTCTCGCCTTATAAGGTGTCGAGCGCCTCTGACCGTTCACACTCTGTTATCCTTCATTTTGGTGTCCCTCTACATCTATATTTGAAAACCCAGATGCATAGATCCTGAGGGGCATGATATTCAAGTTACCATGTAATGGACTGTGCTGCTGGTGCATGCATGTGCGTCTGTGCCTAGAAAGCTGTGTATTCTGCGGGGTACATGACAGGGAGCCAGTTCTCACTGAAGGTGGCGCAGTGGCTCCATCGGAGGTGTCGCATCAGCTGGAAAACAAAGAGGGAAGTCAGTACAGAGGAACAAAGCTAACCGATTACAATAAATCACCAGTTTTTTTTATTATCTTTGGAGACAGTGCAGCCAAACATATTGAGTATCTCATTAGCGGCCCTCTCGTACCTGGATGCAGTTCTTCATGTTGTCTTTGCTGGGCTTCTCCTCCACCATCTTTGAGGCATATTTTAAAGCTCGGCCGTACATCTTGTTCACAAGAGCGTGTTTGTATGAAAACATCAACACCTGAAGAGTGGCAAAGATGGAAGACAAAAAAATGGTATAAGATTGAAATCACATCAACAGGAGAGAAACAGAGGGAAGGCACATTACTTAGGTAGAACGTGTTTACCTTATAACTAATTACATAACGCTATTAGAATAAACAAATCACAGGTAAGGGAATGATACAAAAATAATGGATCTGCTAATATTCTTTTTATCATAATTGCATCAAATGTTTATACTTCGAACGGTTAATCAACTTAAGAACCCTCTTTCGAAAGACTTTGGCCTCTTCTTAATTTTCCAAGAACATTTGGCTCACCTTGGAGTCAGTTAGCTCCGCCCACTTCTGCACCTCCCAAAACGTTTCTGTCAACGCTTTCACCACGCAGTACTCGGTGTCATCAGAGCTGCTGGCCACCTGTTCCACTATCCCCACTTCTTCTTCTTCTTCTTCTTCTACTGCTGCTGCTGCTGCTGGTGCTGCTGCTGGTGGTGGTGGTGGTGTTCCCGTGGAGACCGCAGCCGCCCCCTCCTGTGGCGGGGGGGGCAGCAGGAGCTGGTCGGCCTGAGCGCAGCCCTTCCTGCACAGAGCGTCCAGCAAAGAGGACTTCTGCTTCTCCATGTCCCTGAAACAGAGGGTAGAGAAAGGTCAGGAGTAGGTTCAGCAGTTCAGCGAACTTTGCTGGGATGATCACCTTTCTACAGTGAGTAATAGCAAAGGTGGGCAACCTTGCCCCAAAAACAACTTAGCAAGATCTTCCTTATGTTTTGCCAACTTAAACATCCATACGCTGGCTGTACACAACAACTGAGAAATGTGTAAAGGGCTTGTGATTTCAACTTTTGCCGCCCTTTCAAAAGCTCCACAGTGCCACTTTGTAATGTGCAGTTATTGTAAATCAAATACAAACTGCTTACCACTTTGGCTACATTTCCTGCTACTGTGTCTTTGAGTTGTTGTTGTTGTTGTTGTTGTTGTTGTATACCAGGTAAGATGCAAGTGAGTCATGTTCAATGCATTCAGAGTTATGTTCAATGGGGTATGGTCATTTTCTTTTTGTGTGGTTAACTCTCTTATTCTCTTACTCGGCTGCATCAATTATATCAATTGAGTGTGCCTTGGTAAAAGTCTCTAAAGAAGTTTGTACTAGGGATGGGAATTTCAAGGCACATTTATTTTTCGAATATTCGACCCCAGAAAAAAACGGTAATCTGGTTAACCGAACTAACGTAGACTACAGAGCAAAAACTATTCATGACTCATAATCGAATACCTGAATCATTTCCAATATTCATTTCCATCCCTAGTTTATATTATATATTTTTATTTTGTGTGACATACGTCTTGATTGTGGCGGCATCAGGCCGAGGGTCAGTCTTCAAGGTGAGGTAAACAGCCAGGGCCGTCTGGTCGATGTGGGAGATGACGATGTCGGCAGCAGACACAACCTCCTTCAGACGTTTGGCGCGCTCCTGAACCAGAACACAAGGAGAACATGTGAGCAGAGGAAGTTGCTGTGTTAAGAGAAAAGAATGAAATGCTCCGGAGGTTTAATCTGGTTAAAGCTTCGTCCATTTCATCTTATATTCCTGCCCTCACCTTTTCAGAGTCCAGCTGGTGCAGTCTTTGCACGTGCAGGGGGAGGTAATCTAGGTAGTTTTCCCTCAATTCATCATAGATGGCGCTGGTGTCCAACCTGAACAGAGGAGCGGGAGGATGACAGATGGTTAACTGAGAATTTAAAAGAAAAGCGAGCAATATGTGAACAAGGCAGAAGAGTAACTACACACTTTGTCATCCACTGAATCTTCAAGTCTCTCATTGCTTCTGCAAACTCCTCCTTCACGTCCTTCTCTTTGTCTGCTTCCTTGTCCTTCTCCTTCCCTCCGTTCTTTGTTTTGTTGGGAGCAGGAATTAAGTGGTACACGATCGGAACGACATCCTGTACGAAGACACAAACAAATGGTTCCGTCAGAAAAAATACCTGATTGAATATAATGAATGACCTCCTCTACTACTGTAAACTCTTCCTGCCAATGTTCTGAGACTCCATCTCCTTTTTAAATCAGCTAAGCAAAGTATGTTTCATTCCCAGTTATACAAGCTTAAAAAGTGTCATGATCAATTGATGTTCATATTTAAAAAATATATAATATTAAGCTCTACCGACCACCAGAAAACGTTAACTACCCACTAAGGCTAGCTTGTGCATATTTCACTACAGCAATGATGACATGATTTGGTATAATTAATGAAGATGGAAGAAATCCCCTTTAAGCAATCAGCTCCATCTGTTGTAGGAGAACAGTGGACGTTGTACAGTGTTTCTAGCTCATCCAGTACCTTTTTAAACTTCCCTTGTCGTTTTGCAGAGGCCTGCCCCTGGTGGTCAGAATAACACACAGTAAGGACAAGAACAACACAAACAAACCAAAAAGGATTCTCTCTTTCTTCATGTTTTATCTTTCATCCTCAGGAGTCTAATCCACCCACCTGTCATCATAGGCGGATTTTGCGGGGGGGCATTGCCCCCTCCTAGTGGCTGAAATATGTTACAGCATTACTACGTCTAAAACTGTTCCAATATTTTAATAGATGTAATATAATGATTGTTACAATACAAATCTGAATAATATCATGTTTTGTTTGAAATAATTTCATTTTTGAGCAGTCGCATGTTGTGACGTGTGTGTGTGACGTATGAGGTTAAGGACACAAGTTCCCTCGCTTTTTTTTGCATACAAGTGATTCAGCTATTGTATTACAATAATTAGCAGCAATGGTTATGCGGCGATCTTTAAAACGTCCCATTTCTGGGACGTTTAAGGCGTCTACTTCTGCACTAAGTAGGACACTGGTTAATAATATTGTAGCGTGTTCAAGTAACCAAGGGATATAGTAGTTATCAAATAAGTATAAGATGTGCACAGTTATGATACGTTTTACAGATGTAATGCACTGTTGTTGGGGGGAGAGACCGCCCCTTCCATATGAGTGTGTGTGTACGGCGGGCATGAGGCGTGCATGACGGGACGAGTTGTGTTCGTATATGGAAAAGTCATACTCAGTGCGGTGAACGCTGGCTTTATTGCTACTGTATCCGTGACCCCACGCAATAGTTGGGACTGTACTGACGTCAGTAAGAAAGGTTTGCCCCCCCAAGCGCAAATGTCAAACTCTGCCTATGCCTGTCATACTCTTCTAAATGCTACAGAAGTAAACAGCGGTGTACTTGACACTCTGATTTCTATCTACAAATCTGATCAACTTGTTTTTCTCACATCTGCTCAATAAGCACTGCATCTTCACTCAGGACTGAAAACTAAAGTAAAATGTGATGTGGGTTCACGGTGAATATTTTACATCAAGTAAAATTCATGTGTGCAAGACACTCAAACAATAAAAACGCAAATTAAAACAATATATAGAAACATTGATCACAATTTGTTAACAGGTGCTTGACAAGAAGATCTTTGCGTATAGGAGCCACTGAGTCAAGACCATCAAAGCTGTTCAGAGATGTGCGACATCAACACTTTAGCTCAGTAAAGAGGAGCACCTGCAGCCCGTACAGTTAGTGAGAATTCGCTCAAGAAGAAAACACATTTGCCATTGTACTGCAGACATCAGAGAACATTTTCCATTTTTCCCTTCAAACAAATATTTCACTAAAAATGTCTGGTATGATATGTGTACTTCCATTAGAAACTACTGATCATTTTAGACAGACCTTCTGTTTGTTTGTATCATTCCTCACTAATATTTATATCATTTACAAATGATAAAAACAAGGTCTATAAGCATCGGAGTCATTTGATCAGGTTAGCAGCTTTGAATGTTATTATTCATCTGCAATCCAAATGAGCCAATGAACAGCCAGAACCAGCAAGTGGCGATCTGACAGGTGCTCACAGCAGAAGCGCAGACAAAGGCAAAAATAAAATGGTATGCATCAACCAAGAGGTTATCAACTAATTCAAGCAGCACCAGACTCCGACCAGGTCTAAAGGTGATGACAGAAACCATACAAAACCTACACACATTGTAAAGCAACACGTATTGGAGCAATGATCTTCCTTTCGATCCTCAGGACCAGTACTTGGGGCATTACACGTTAAATTAGTGTATTTGAGATTTTCATGCTAAAGGATTGACCCAGATATGTACTGTGTTAGTTTGTGAAGTATCTAGTGCAGACTGAAAGCTACCGTGACTTTAGATCCCTGGAGGGAGGATGATGACTGCTCTGGAGGACAGAGTGTAACAACAAAAAGACAACTCACTGCTTTCTTGCCATACTCGCTCTTGGGAACAACCAGAGAACCTGACAGATAGCATCCTGGACTCGTCCCCTTTGGGACCCTGGAAAAGAAAAAGGAGAGAAGCAACAAAGGGGAGAAAGAAAAAAAAAGTCGGGAACATTAAATACATTTGATCACAATATTACAGAAAATACTGAAATATGTATTCATTGTGTTTAGATTATAGATTAAATTGTATTCTGTTAACAGAGGAACATCTTAATCTCTGCTCCATCTGCTGTACAGTCTGAAAGGATCTACTGTGGTCAAAGCTGCTTGTTCCTCAGAATGACTGTGGATATGTTAATACAAGTCCCTGGTCAAATTGACTCACTTGTCGTCTGGCAGAGCTGTGATGTAGAAGGGCTGAGTGGCGCCCGGGCAGAGGGTGAGAGAGTTTGCCTTCTTCTTGGCCATGAGGGCAGCGCGGTGCGACTCGTAGACATCCAGACTGAGAGTGGTGGACAGACGGTGGGACACCACAAACGGAAGGTCCTTAAGGCGCTCCAGCTCACTGGACTGCTCGTGGCGGACCTGCAGACGCACGGTGTAGTCCCCCTTTTCCAGCTTCAGAGAATACTGGAGAAGTTAAAGAGACAGGGGGGGGAGATGTGTTAGCTCATTGTGTGCAACATACGAAAACACATGTAATGTTAGCTCTTAATGGGTCTATGGTACCTGGTGTGGGTAGGCATCCCCAGAGCCCAGTAGTCTCTTGTTCTGGTCGTGTAGCATCCAGAGCTGACTGTCAAACTCAGACTCATACAGCAGCTCACACAGCATGGGACAGCTGGGGGTGACCTCTCCACTCTTCGGCTGAGACCAGAGCAAAAGAAGATTATTCACACACATAAAAAACAAAATCAACATTTCCTTTCATAGAAAGTGCAGATGGTGTTGGCAGTACCTGGTGAAAGCTATAGGTGAGGACAATCTCATAGAGTTGTCTGTTGTTTGGCAGAACGTCCCTCAATCCCAGGGCTTTTATCTTTGAATTTAAGGGCCTATAACAACAACAAGAAGAAGAAGAAGAAGGATGAAACAACTGCACTGATGTGGAACAACAACATCTACACGAGTGAGTCTGACATTACCTGAGAGGCTGAACCCAGGACTTAAGGGTGATAGTGGGGGACACCTCCTCGTACCTCAGAGGTGACGACACATCAAAACTCGTCACTCCCTCTGAGGCATTCTGGGAAGAGACAAATCAGAGTTACAAACAGAGAACTGACAATGCGAGGGTTATTTGTGAGCAATGCTGATGTGTATTTCTGTTCTGTTTATCTCTCTCTCTCTACTTACTATGTGCAGGGGTGAAGGGGAAGTGTGGAGTCCATGGAACGAGATGCTGTAGTCCACGGTGACGTCTCCCAGGCTCGCCCACCAGCGTGCAATACAAAACTCTACTATCCTGCCAGACTGGAGAGGAGATGCAGAAATAATTAATAAGTAGTTTTGCGATTTTTGTATGCATTTACCAAATAATAAGTCACTACATTCAAAGCACTTTTCTTTTAGCTGCAATACACACACACACAAAATGACTGTGTAAAACCCCAGATATATGAAAGTACATTTGTAACTTAATATACGTACCAGCACAGGGAAAGCTTCAATTAGTGAGCCCCTTTCCAACAGTGAGGAGAACTTGTAGAATTCATTAGCTCGGTACGCCTTCTGTTTGACCAGGTGCACCGCATGGAGGACAAACTTTGAGGACACGTCTCCCGAATGAGAGGTCAGTGTGATCTCTGCAGGAGGGAGATGGGGATTGAGAGGTGAGAAACAGCAGAACAGTGACAAGAGAGAATGTGGAGGATGACAAAAGGATGAATGGAAAGTGATTTCAAGTCACTTGTACTAATATTTTAAAAGATAAAAGGTTATTGAATTAAATGTAAGGCACAAGGTGTACCGACCTGCCCAGGAGGCTCCCTGAGGAACAGTGATGAAGTGGCGTCTGATCTGACCCGGTCTGAAGTGCACGTCTGTGAAACACACCTCTGGATTACGAGTATCTGTCACTCTGTGAGGTCAAGGGAGAAAGTTGTCAGACACAAATACACCTCTAAGAGAATAAATGTGACCTGCTCTATCGAAATCAGTCGCATTGACCCGAAGACACATTTTGAGTTGTATACACTGCTGGAAAGAGGATATGCCTAGCTTTCTAATGATATCAGGATTGTTTTTGTACTCCAAATATTAAGCGAAATATGTCACATTATATAATGACTGTCACAGAGTCATCATTTTGAGAAAAAGGCCTTTAAAGTTTCCTCTTCTCTGGAATCCATCGATCTGATTGATTATTAGCGGAGCAAAGGATCAAAATACTACGGAGGGAAGATATTTTCGTTTGGATTATTGGTCTGGGGGAAGCTCGCGAGTGTGTGTGTGTGTGTGTGTGTGTGTGTGTGTGTGTGTGTGTTTGTGTAATTTTGCGTTTGTGTGTATTGTGTTTGTTTCCCGGGGAAAACCCTCACGAGAAACACCGGCTGTTGTTATGCCTGCTGTGAGTGACGTTAAGTTACTCCGTTCTCCACTTGTAATTATGCCGAAGCTTCAAAGTTGTATTTATCATCTGAATTTGCCGAAACAAGTTTAATATTCTGAAAGCCAAGACTTTGTTTAATTGAAATCAAATGAAAACAAACTGTAACGGACCCTGCCGTGTTATTTATGATTACTCTACGCTTACATTCATAATGTCAGCCGGAGGGAGGGGGGGCGGCGCTGCGGAAGAGCAGATTGCCTGTCATCTTCCCTTTACAAGCTTAAAGCATGTATTTATCGTGTGAGTTTGGAAATAAAAGTTTCATATTCTGAAAGCCAAGACTTTGTTTGTTTAAAATCAAACCAAACACCCAAATCCCGAAAAAATAGTTTTTTACGCAAATCCACGTTTATTTTGAAATGAGCCGTTGCGACTTCCGACTGATTTCGATAGAGCGGGTCACAAATATGGTGAAAGAACTCACTTGGCAGGGATTATAACTGTGATTGGGACTCTGAAAAGAGGTCCACAGCTAGGTGCTGATGTATCATACCCACACACCTAAACACAGAAAGCGATCAGTTTCACATTAATACACACAGAAACAGTACAAATAAAAGATTCTTCCCTCTTTCTTCTCCCTACCTCTGTGTAGTGCACTCCCTCTCTCAGCCCCACAGGATCGACGCGGACGTTCACATGGCGACACTGGTTCATCAGCTCTAGATGGGTGGGGCACTGGACCCACGGGGCGGCACATGTCAGCGCTAAGTGTAGCTGCAAGGAGATTCGCTCAGGGTTCCCTGTGGTGGACGTTAGAAGAATACAGATTGTTTAGAAGATAAAAACACTTAAATTAAAAAGAACAACAAAAGAAGCTTTAAATGTAATGCGTGTGAAACCAAATATACAGAAACCTGTGTTTTCTGGGAAGATTGGTTCAATTCCTACTCCGTGATCTGAAGGTGCGAGAACATGGGCTGGGTCCCTGAGGTAGATGCCTCTCTGTGATCCCACACTTACTGAGAAGCCTAGTTGGCTTGAGGGTAAAGAGGCGTGTTGAGTGAGGTAGTCTAAAGCCTTATCCACCTGAGAGCAGATTACAGGAAGGCACACAGAAACATGTTAGGAAACAGCAGAATACTTATGATGATGATGATGATGATGAAGCTAAGACTGTTACAAGCCACAAAAGAGTTACCTGGATTATTCCATGGCCTTGTGCAAACACCTCGATGTCATCGATCTTCAAAGCTGTGTGCTCCAGCGCCCTCCTCACCGCAGGAACAGAGGGAGGGATACCATTCTGCTTTAATCCTTTAATCACAAAAAACCACACACATTAGCATCAGGTTTACATTTTGGTGGATCTTCCATACATGCAATATAGTCCCACGTCTATTATGAGTCCATGATCCTGGAGGCACCTGAGAGGATGAGTGCGATGCCGCCACAGGCATTAGGGGACGACATGGAAGTGCCGTTCATCAGCTGTGTACCACGAAGTGTCCAGTTGGGTACAGATGCAATGGCCCCGCCTGGCGCACTGATGCTGACCCCCAGGGCCCCGTCTGTGCTGGGGCCCCTTGATGACCAGGTGTACTGGTTAGGAGGCAGCTTCTCTCTCAGGGAATACTCGGCCACCATCATGTCTGGAGTCACATATGCTCCAACTCCTACAGAGAGGAAGGGGGCAGGAATTAACATGTAAATAACATTAATACATAAATAATTTGGCTACGCAATGTTCTTTTTTCTATTATTATTTTACCATAAGGGATTTTGGAAATTCCATGATAAAACAAACTGCTAATTCTTTTAGCTGTAGCCAGTGTGTTTATGTGTCTTTTCTACTGTAAATAATAAAAAGCCATTTTGAACACAGTTAAACAGGCTAAACTATGTTTGACTGCATACCTATGACACTGCTGGTGGTTCCTCCTGGGCAGCCGACCGTGGAAAGGCACGGACCGTTGTTTCCTGCACTTGAAACAAATATCACATTGTGCTTCTGCACAGCCTCTGTGATCACCTCACAAATCCTCCTGGGAGAGAAATTGACACAAATCAGTGAAAGTGTTCCACACAAAACAAACCCACACAATCACAACCCCTGCTGCAATACATACCCTGTATTAGGCCAGTGGGTGGCTTCCCCGTAGCTGTAGTTAACCAGGTCACACTTGTAGTTGATGACTTCAATCATCTTTGAGTGAGAAGAGAGAGAGAAAATTAAAGGCTGAAAGAAGAGGAAAAAAGGGTAGTTTGTTTATATTTGTCTGGGCATTATACCGCACGGATGAGTCCAGTGCCTGTTTCCATTGTGCTGAGGCGGGTGTCTCCAATCTTAATAGCCAGGATTTGGGCTCCGGGGGACACGCCGTTGCGCTCAGGATCCTCTGGGAAGTAACCTGCTGCGATGCTTGCCACATGTGTCCCATGAGCCCCTTTAAAAAAGAAAATAAGCAAGTTAGACTAGAGAATACACCGAGTAAAATTAAATTGATTATGCAGCCTCAAGTGGTGAAACTGCTATGAGTGACTGTTACACTGAGAATCCTTTTGTGACTGAATGATATGAAGGCATCCTTTAAGAGATGGACTACGTGCTTTGGGATATATCTCACCTCCACTGGTGACGATGCAGAGTGTGTTTCCCTCATCATAAATATTAACAGAGTAGTTAAGCATCTCAGCATTTCCCAACGTGGCATACTCTTGCGACTCTTTGTAGGGGCTCAGCACTGTGCACTGGGGCAGGTCTCCACTCTCTGAAGTGTCAACCACAGCCCTAAAGAGAACAAATAGGAACAGACAATGTGAAGGAAAAATATGCTATTGGTAAGGAATAGTATGAAGTGAAGAGGAATGGTCAAAATAAATGTATGCAAAGGAAAAATGTTGATAGGGTTTACCTCCATGTGAATCCATCATGCCAAAGCACACAGTCATATACAGGACCAGGGTCACTGTACTTCTTTTCTAGTGAAGCCAGCAGCTCTGACTGACTCTGCAGCTCTTCTTTCTGCAACTTCTCCATCTAGTGAGGAACCAAGGATACATTGGAAAGAGACAGTATAGAAATAAGATTAGGAAACACCAAATTACTGTGACTAGAAACTGCATTGACACAGACTAATTCACAAATAACTCAAAATGGTGCAGGTCTGACCTGTGAGGGTGTTGGGTGAGCGAGGTCAAACTCTTCGGTTTTGCGTGAGACCTCAGCTAGTGCTGCTCGGTGTGGTGGGTCCCACAACTTCTCCTTTCGCTCTTTCTAGTAGACGGAAGTACAACATAAGTGCAATAAAACAACCACAGAGGATGGCAAGCAAATACATTTCCATTAATTTCATCTACAGGATTCTGAAAACATGCACTTTGTTTTACTACCCTAAGTAAAAATATATATAGTAGTACCACTGCAAAGGAGAGATGATATGTGCCCAGCCACAATGTTGCAAAATACTATGACAGACATGGTAGAACACTATTGTCATGTGTTCCTACCTGTATTCTTTCTTTTAGAGCCTTAGGGAAGAACTCATAGCCATTTTTAACTCCAATGCGATACTTCCCTGATGGATTGACCCAGGAAGGTGGGATCTAGAAGACATAGAAAGACACAGTGTGAGACTATACACAAGAATAATACAAAAAATGTAGTTGTTATGATATAGGCAAATAAAGTTACATTTAAAAAAGGGACTATTTCCTATGTAACATTTTATTACTCTTTGTACTAACCTTAAGTGTTGTACCAGAGAGGCCAGTGATTGTCCCATCTTTAGGTTCTGCCAACGTGGTCATATTCACGTCACCGCTGCCTGTTGTATCGATGATGTCGACAATCTTTGGCTTCCCTTCAGTTGTGACCTAAAAGAAGCAGTGATGATTTTTAACTTGACTGAGTAATGCTCAAACCATTTCTTATAGTGAAGAAACTTAAAATGCTTTGCCCATACCCCTTTATACGTATGTGTTTAAGAAGGGGTCAAGTTCAGATTCTGGCATTTAAAGTATCAGTGAAGCAAGGTGACGTGTTTAAAAATAAAAAGATTGGTGTAATTGGTAGATTGCACTTATTGCAAGTGGTTTTGGATAAAAGGGCAAACTAGATGAAATGTAATGTATAGAATGTAATACAAAGTTAGTGTATACACTTTATTAAGATGGAAAATAAAACACAAATAAACACTACAAAATGAAAACAAAATAAACAGCCATAGTGCCCATCTTCAAATACAGGCATTTTCATATCCAGTATCTTGAAATGTATATTTCAGTAAGGCCATAAATCATTAATTTCTTCAATTCAGTTTTCCATATTATAAATGTATCTTATAATATCTAACTATTGCTCCACAGTAGGTTTTTTTTGTCTTTATTGACATTGCCTTCTTGGGATATCGGTTATATAATTATCAGTGACATTATGAAGTGTATTTCCAATGTACATTACTTTGCATTACCCTGAATTCATTCATTTCAACATAGTCTCCCAAAATGAGTGTAATTTATGACATTCCGAAACAATGTGTGTGAATTGCCTCTGTGCTGCCAACAGGATTGGTGTGCACCAGTGTTTTATTATTTTAGGTGTAATAAATTAGCGGTAAGATTTTTCCAGCCGAACTTCCGGTTAACCTTTATTAAGTGTCATGATGTGCCTAACATGCTGGTTTCTAACAGACCAAACTGTATGGAAACTGTCAAGGACTCATTAACTGGTTCCAAACGGTGTAGCTAGCTGCTAAGCTAACTTTAGGTTCCAGTGTGACATGGCAGTAAACATGTAGTTAGGACTCACTAACAGACAACTAAACGAACATACTATATTTTTGCAACTAATAATGACATATAAACATTAATTTAGATACGAATCATAACAGCCAAACGGTAGTTAACCAGGTGACAGGATACATTATGAATAATCAGTGTGGAGGTTGAATGAAAACTGAGGCGGACATATTCAGCTGTTAGCTGCCAGGCTAATATGCTAGCAGGTATGTCAAGTAGCATATTATAACGTTAGTATGTTTGTTTAGCACCGAAACACACTTTAACAGCTAGGGGAACCATACGCAATCAATAGTTTTGTGTTGATTTGGTTGTCATAACACACATGAAGTTTGTTTTCATAGTTATTGTGTGTGTATATAATGTGAAATATGTGGGCCTTTAGCTTTGCTAGCTACCACCAGCTAGCTAACAGCTAACGTGAGACAGCTGCCGGTTAGATGTACCTGCATGCCGGGGGCTCCGGGATCCACGCCGGTGTCCAGGATAGCGATGAGCACTCCTCGGCCATCGTACTCGGGGAACCTGGTGAGATAAGACGTGGCTCCAGTTTCTTTTTTGGGAAGCAGTCCGTGGAAGGGGAACGGTTCTTCTGCAGAATGGGCAGCCATGATCAGAGGAGCGACGATGAAAACAAAGCAGCGAAATGGGGAAGAGAGAGCCGCCCGGAGAGCGAGACTGGAAGGAGAGATGTTTAAAGGGGCAGTGCCAGCCACATCTTCTACCTTTAATCACCAAGCCACCATACATTGAAACATTGAACTACACTTGAATATTATCATAATTATGATGCTGATCATTCCTGTTTGGTCAAGGCTGCCTTATCTCAAAGTTAAAGCCTGGACCCTGAGATTGTCTGGGTCCAAGGAGGCCCCGAGGTCGAGGCAAGTCCATTTGTTTTAATTTGATTACAAAAACATTGTTTTGATGTAGCGAGGGACAATATTTTCTGATTGATATCATGAGTCATGCGTTCCTTTTTCTTCCTTTTTTGTGTTATTTTATGCCCCTGGTCAGAATGTGTCACTAGTTACCATGGAAACATGTCCTTAGTTCTGAATTAGCCTTGGAGTTGGGAAGTTTTAAGGCTTAAACAACGTTTGTCTTTATTTATGGGAAAATATATACCTTGCTTCACCAGTTTATGGGCAACATCAACACTTCAATAAAACTACAAGCCAGTCTTTTTATGATAATCACCTCCATCCTGTTAACCATAGGAACACACTAGGTGGTGCTATAACACTAACACTAGGTGGTGCTATAACACTGATCAGTCACACTTTGTTCTCTTTGCTCTCAATGGCTGACAAACTGATGTTATTCATTGCTGCGTTTGACAATACTGCTGCTACATTAACTACTTGCAAATACATAGATTTGTTTACAATATTTTGAGACAACCTATTGTACATACATGTCTAAAGATTTAGGTCCATACACATTTATCAAAACAACTCTTCATGCAAACATCCATCAATTGAAGGGAAGCTGCTTGCACTAATCACAAGCAGAAATTGTGATTTAGGATAAAATATGTCTCACTCTTTATTCTGTTGAGTAAATGTTGTCTGCATTTAAGTGGTTTAAAAGAGACGGTTCTTAAACTCCTCTGCTCATAAAAAATCCAAGCTATCTAGGTAATAAAGAAGAAAACATAAACAAGGATGTTTTCATAGTGTCTGAAACGTTTACATTTTTTAGATTATCACATAAACATCAGTGTACATGTCTTGTCTGGGGCTCAACCTTGGACTCAATTTCCCAGTTCACCTTCTTTCTCAGGTCGGCTTCAGCACATGCGTTTGCATCCTACTTTTCTTACATTGTCTAAACTACAGGTCACTTCAGACTATACATTTGAACTAAATCCATCATAAAATGTTGTATGTTTTTATCTTTTTGTTCTCAATTTTTAATCAGAAACTATGGTAGATAAACAAAATGTTGCGTTTAGATAAATGTTAAGACCCCTGCTTTAGCTGAAAGGATTTATATTTGAATGTGTTGCTCATTAGTTTTTCTGTAACCCCACTACAAGCCTACAGCATGATTTCTGCTTTTCATCTGTTTATTTTCTACAGATGTAGTGTTGAGAATGAAGGAAGGAATAACCAACTCAGAAATAACAAGTTTGACCAACATGGAGGTTCTGCTTATGTTGTTTAAAGTGGTTTGATGTCCTTTCCACAAATCACAGGCATTCTTAAGGTGTTATTCATATACTATTCATGGAGATTTTCTTTTGTTTTGTTCCCAGAAAACCAGGATTAACTTTGAACATGTCAATTGCCATCTGTTCAACTTGAAACCCTCTATCCCTCTCATATATATCCAAACACAAAGTAGGTAGTGTGTGTGTGTGTGCGTGCGTGCGTGCCATGGTTGTTGTCAGTGTGCAGTTATTTTAAGTGTGCCAACGCCCTCAGACGCTGCTTTTGTGACTAGCTTATGCATAATGAAACAACAGTGAGCATCCTTTCACTAATCTGCTTAGAGTCAGCATCTGCCTCATCTTCCTCTTTCTGTTATTGGATCTGCATTGTCACACACACATACTGTATGCAGGCACTTGTACATACACTGTTTGATGCCAAGCTTATACTTGGACACATATTTTTATATGTCAGTAACATTTTTGTGCTTAAGATTAGTTAGACCTCTAAGGTTTGAGGGCCTTTTTCTTATAACATTAACACTTGCACACACATACAGTTACACACACAGGCTTGTGGTTTACCACAGGGCGTAGCCACTTTAGCTAAACTGAAATAATTGTACGTCATAAACGTCTTTACAGCATTATTTCCCTATGTGATGCTGTGCATGCAGCTACAAAAACTGTATTATTATCCTTCCCCTATTTTTACTTGCTGATAGGATACTACTTTGGTTGGTATGTTATGATAGTGGCAACCCTTGACTCTTGCATTGTAGTCTTATATTACAGCAATTTGACTGGTGTTACATCTGTACATGCAAATGTATATAACCTGCTGGGATAACAACTTTATGTCAAGTAAAATCCCAAATCGCCCTCCCATCTCCCCTAAAGCTGCACAAACATGCAGCTGACAGGATGTGGCCAACATAAAGGACCTACATTATTGCAGTTTTCCACTGTCATGAGAGGTTATACAGCTAGCTAATACCATGGTTATTATCTAGCCACACAGTTTCAGTGGAGATAGTCAAAGGCACAAAAAACGCACAGGCAAGAAATGCCCATTTAGTCAGTGGTGGTAAAGACTCAGATGCTACTTTCATGTAACATGTAATCAAAATACACTGACAAATAAAACATGCTTATTAAAATAACTTAAAAGCTGGTCGAGGTGGAACTAATTTTAAGTATTTACAGTTCAGTTCAGTCCAGTGGCTCCTAAATTAAGGGTCCAGCATCACTATGAGATAAAGAGAACAAAACATAGTTCTGCTTAACAAATCTGTACTCAATTTTGAACATTTCTCCATTTATTATTTTGTTTGTGAAGTATTGCATAACTTTAGACATTGGATCAAACCATGTGAAAAGTTTAGACTGGAAATGTATTTTTGGTGTAACTACATATCATGGACATCTGAAACGTGAAAAAAGCGGAAAAGTAGTCAAAAGCCATAAAAAGATTAGGAAAAACTCGATTGAACCACTGAACGAGTACCTCAACATTTTACATAGTACTGCATTTAGCAGTTAGTTACATCTCACCACTGGATGCACTTCCTACTACTGTATTCAGTTTGCTTTAGTGCATACCAGGATTGTTCATGTATGTCAGTTCTCCCCTTGCTGACGGTATAGCAATGAGACATATAGCCTAATTAGATTTAGAGCTGTTCTAAGGGAGTCACAGCTAATCCCAACACTTCAGCTTGCAGCAAAAACACTGCAGCTAACCTTCGATATTGTTAGTAAGACTGTCCATCTCTGCTGGGTTGGGCTCGGCCAGCTGGGTTTGCAGAGTCCTCCCGACCAGAGTCAGGCTATTCTGAGGAATGTGGTCATGGTGATCCCAGAGGCGTGGCCCAATAGGCTCAAGTGTGGGCTGATGATGACCATGTGTATTTCACCTGAATGGATGTTAAACTTTCAAGACATCCCTCCCACACAGCAAGCCAGCACCTTGTCTGTTCATCCATCTGTTCAATTTGGCTCAAGATCTGCGTCAACAGGAAAACAAGGACGCATTCATTATTTACAGGTTATCGCTGTCTTGTTTGGCGACTGCCAGTACCTTTAATTAAGAACATTTCTCCATTGTCCCTATACATATCTTGTTTGCATTTGCTCACTTTTGTCTGACACAAGTATAGTTTGATAACAGTTTTGCAGTCATGGTTAAGATATTTTAATTATATCTGTGAAAAGAGACAGCCCCAATCTTCTTATCCTGGTGACATTTGACTGTTCAAGAAGGGATTGACCCTGAAATTCAGATAATCTGCGCGTTCACTTAAATCTTAAACGCAAGCTGTCATTTAGCAGTGAGGGACTTTCTTTTTGCTTTTTGCATCTCACACGTCACTTAAGGCCATGTTAGCCTATATAATAAAATTACCCTGACCCAACCTAAATTAACATTTTACTGAATGAAACATTTAGTTTGATTCATTTAAGGTTTCACACAATATCCTAAAATGGCCTCACTTCTTGAAATGGAAGTGAGGCCAATCTTTAGTCATTTAAAGCTCAGATCATTGGAACAGTAATAGAATATTTACTCCACAGAAATACCAGTCTAAAGCTGTTTTGTTGCTTTTTGAATCTGCAGTCTATTTGATGTAGAAACAATCTGGCGATATCCAGTAAAGTTAGGCCCAATGCTGCTGTATGTGGGGCCCATGGAGGGGGAGAGACACTGAACAGCCACTGATGGTGCTTTGCCAGTTCTCAGAGAAGAGAGGTATAAATAAAATGCTACGAGTATGGTCATCTAGCTCTGCCAGGAGCTACAATTATGTATTTGATATAATTCAACATTATGAGCTAGTTCTTGTCAATTCAGAGTCTAGCCATTCTCATGATGTTGTAAGCAACATAAAGACATGTCTGTTGGTTGTTGTCTGTGTCACCTATGTGATGTGTATGGTAGATGATGCCAAAGTAGCAAAATGTGAAGATTGCTTGCAAACACATTGCTCTGGTTATTAAGTGAGGAGATGCACTTTTAACTTAAGGGTAAACCACACTGTGGCACTTTGGAGCTAGACAAGGCATCCTGTTTCAAGAAACTAGCTGCAATAGGTTGTGAGACAGGATTGTATTTAATCGATTCCTGGGATATTACCACCATGAGTAATCCAGTCAGAGTATATTTGTATTATGGGAATATTTCTGATAACTGGTGTGCAATATCAAACCTTGGATTTGTACCTGGACCAGTTTATATTTTTTACTGATATGTAATTTGTTGTTTGTTTACTTTGCACTGCAACTGAGAATGTTGCTTGTGATTTTTCTTTCTTACCTAAACACATGGGATTCTGGTTTATATCTGGATATTGTTTAAAGAGAAACTTCGCTTATTTAGTGGTGGAATGTGCAAATGAGCAATGTTCGATTTCCACCATGGCAAGATGCATCTGCAACCTTTTTTGTTCATTTCCACAATATGTGTTTTTGTATCTTTTACAAATCATGTTTGCAGAGTGGGCGGGACTTGGACTGTCTCCAGTTTCCCCATTGACACTTCCTTTCTTGCAGAGGCACAGATTCAGCACGGATTACCCTCCATACCAGCTCCATACCCATGTGTGGGCGGTGTTGTTGTGGAGCCACACCCCCACTAGCGTTGCTGCTGCTGCTGCTGAGGATCTGAGCTGAGTCTGCCCGCTTGTTCACCAGCAGCAGCCTGCAGAAGCAGCGATTGGGACCGGCGTGTGATCGCTGCCCCGCGAGCATAGATGTGCAAAACCCCTGGATTATTTGCGCGCTGGAGCCATTACCGACCACCGTGGAGGACTGTCTTTATCTAACCGTCAAAAGGGAAAGAGCCTCGGGGACAGCATGGCGGTAGAAGAGGAAGGTCTCCGGGTTTTCCAGAGCGTTAAAATAAAAATAGGTAAGAAAAGAGAAATCCCTACCCCCAGTCTGAGCGTCTCAATGGATGGCTCAATGCTAACGGGCCGGGCAGACAGTGAGGGCTGGAGGCTGGACAGATCTGTCCTGTTCCTGCTGCCATTGTAATTCAAATCACACGCGTTCCTCTCACGCTGTTAACCGCAAACTGTAAACATGAAAAAAGGAAAACAAAACGGGTGATAAGAGCTTGTGGAAATTTGGCAGCTGGCAGGAGAATCGTGTGTTGGCAAACATAGAGACTTGGACTGCTGGCTGATAATAATGCTGTGCGACATAAAGGCTCCACAGCTGCACATACCCAGATGCGTTTTGGGGACACTTCAAATCAAATAAACCTTTATTATACCTTAGTTTCAGCCCCCCATTCATGTTATTGCAAACTCGTTTTTCTTCCTGGCCTCAACCTCCAAACATGCAGCTTTATGCTTAACTGTCTAGCTATTGATTGTTAGCCCAGATTTCTATTTTTAGATATAGCTGGTCTCCAGTGAGCTGGTTTGTGGGAGACATGTGGTGCCTGCATATCTTGTGAATGGAGCTATGAGGCGGTGTGCAGAAAGACAAAAAAATGGTCATGTCAGTAAAAAAGTAATGTATGTATCAAATGGATTACAAGACACATTTATAACAATTCTAATACCTTATTATTATTTTATTATAATAACAATATTATTCTTCAAACAGAAGAGAGAAGCCCCCCTTAAGCTTACTTTTAAGATACACTCTTGACTTGAGGTTATGGTTACACAGCTTCTTTTCCAACATTGGTCAATTTATTTGGTGACTTCAAATAACAGGTCTAACTAACAGTCAAATATTCAAAAACATTTAGTGATTATTTCAGAGCTGGGATCAGATAATTTGTTGTTGAAAAAGTATTTAAATTATAGATTGAGGATCATAATGATTTTTCTGTCAATCAATTCATTCATTACTTGATCATCTGTTTCAGCTGCATTCAAGTGTTTATTTGGTCCGAAATTATTTAAAAGGCCACACTCGATAACATTTGATATTTCTTTAATCCTATAATATTCAAAACAAACAATAACTTCCTTTGTCTGCTTTGATCTGTTGTCTTGGGTCAACATGAGACTTTGTTAACGTCTGCTGTAGTTTCACTGACATCTGGCGGGCCATTCACTCTGGCTGTGCTGTCCCACTTTGTTTTGACTACAAACAGACAGGAGGGATGGGCAGAGAAAACAAAAACACACATACAAGCTGAGTGAGGATACCAGCTAGCGTCAGACAAAAAACCTTTTACAGTTGATCGGCTGTATTTTTAAGCTCCTTACCTTCTGTTAAAACTGTCTGTAAACAGCTGGGGGGGAGAACCACCCTGACTCGAGTTGATCAAATAGTTGAGCCATGGTGAGTTGATATACTCAGAGCTGAAGCTACACGTGTCATTTGATATCACAAAGGCCTCGTTAGATTGCACTTTCTGAATGAAATTACAATCTTCCAGCAGCGGTCAGTTCCTGTGAATGAAAACTGAATGTGTGGAGGACCCACATCTTTCCTGGATACAAGCCTGCTAACTGATCACACACACACACACACACACACACACACACACACACACACACACACACACACACACACACAGTGCTGTCGGCATGATACTCAGATCCTTTTCTTAAGTAAAGGTGGCAATACCAAACTGTGAAGTACTCAGTTACAAGTAAAATACAGGTTTTTTAAATGGTAGTTTAGTAGGAGTCCAGACGTATCACAACAACACCCGAGATGAAATGTACTTTACTATGTCAAAGGTCAAGGGATGTAGAATTGTTTTTCCCCTGTAAGTTACCAAACTATTTAATTTGTATTTATAAATAATGCATCAATGTGTAAATAGCATTTTGCCATCTTTTTAAATCATCAATGTAAAGCTACTTCTACTTACTAACTAGATGTACTTCAACAATTATTAAATCAAGAAAAATAAAATATTGTTTAAAAAAATGCCAAGCAAAAATGCAAAAATAATAGCTTTTTCAGCCTCTTACGTAGGAGTATCTGCATTTTTATCCTATTATTGTAAATTGAATATATGTTGGTCTTGGACTGTAAGTCGGACAAAACAAGATAGTTGAAGACATTATCCTGAACTGTTTTTATCAATCTTCTGACATGTTATAGACTAGATCAGGGGTGCCCAACCAGTCGAGTCGAGGAGATTCCCAGTCGATCGCGAGATGTGTCTAAAAATAGAACAACAACATTCTGTGTTATCATTAATGTCCTGTAACATAATGTGCCAGAATAATGCACTTGAACGCATCAAAGCTTTGTGATTGGCCGGCGTGACCCCATGTGTCGGGGCGTGGCTGGTGGGCAGTGGGCACTATTTCGCTGACGTTGTTGTCCGACCGTGTCAACAGGAATGACAGTCCGCACACACACAAGACAGCAATTATGGCAGAAGCAAAAAAGCCCAAAATATATAATTTTCACTCCGAGTGGGAGGATGATTATTTTTGTATCTATTCCAATTCAAAGTTCATCTGTCTCTCATCTGCAATGCGAGCGTGGCTTTATCGAAGAAGGGTAATTTAGGAGCGGCATTTCAAAACAGTGCACAAACGCTACGAGACGGAATTCCCTCCTAATTCTGCCCTACGCTCCAAAAGGGGAGGGGCCTGAAAGGACAGCTAAATGCACAGCAGTCCATTTCCACCAGGCCCAACAACAAGAGCAAGGCTGCTACCATAGCATCTTATCGTGTCAGTCACGTTCTTGAGAAACACATGAAGTCTTTCAAAGACGGCGAAGTTGTGAAAGAAGCATCCCTGGAGGCTGCTGACACGCTTTTAGGGGACAGTAAAAAACGGTAGCATTTCAACAGGTTTTTGATATAATAAAAACTCAAGTTAGATACCGTTATTAATCAGCTGTAAGTTTTAGTTTGTTTGAACTTATTCATTATAATTATTGTACAAAATGGTATAAGAATGCAAACATTAAGATCTGTTCTGTTTAAATTGATTATAGTCTATTATCAATTCAGGTTAAGAAACTAGTATTGCTTGCATCCTATTTTAAAGGCATTTATGTTTATACTCTACTAAAATGCAACAAAAAAATGGTTTGATTCTATTAATTTTGTCTTTTTTATTGCACTTTGGCAGCAGATTCCTGTGTAGCTTCAGATCTGAGTTGTCTTATTAGTAAGCCGAATGTATACTTTTGTAGCAACACTATTTTTATATAATGGCAAAGAAAGGGTTCAGAGTCTGTTCTAGTTTTCCTGTATCATATGTGGCAGCACTGTTCAATGTTTCTTGAAAACATTACCCACTGTAGTAGCCTATGTGACGTGTGAATAAACTCCAACTCTGTATCAACAACACTGTTGTGTAACTTCAGTTAAATACTTGTATGTGTGTAGATTAGAAAGAGGTAAGATAAAGGATCTGCAGTATTTTATGAAGTATTAATAGTACAGAGGTCAGTTTTATACAAGTAGAAGTGTGTATTGACCTGGTAGTAGGCTGTCAGTAATGGCTACGCCTCTCTATTTGGACTGGTAGATCTCGGCAGACTGGCAACTTTAAAAGTAGCTCTCGGTTCAAAAAAGGTTGGACACCCCTGGACTAGATGAATGACAAAACAAATTATTGACATTTATCGATAATGAAAAAAACGGTAATTGCATTAATAGAAATACATGTAGAGCCCTCAATGAAAAATGTAGAGCATTATAAACAGTCCTAATAAAGTGTGTTAAATGGAAATACCTAAGAAAAATACAATACAAGTACAGTAGTTTGGTAAATGTACTGCGTTCCACTCCTTCGCCAGAAAAATGACATTATGTTACCAAGAAAAAAATATGTCCGGACTAGAGTTAACCGATGAATAACATGTATGTTGTCGTCACTTCCAAGCCTGGACTCGAGTCTCCTCAGTTCTTCTGAAACGTTGTACAGTGCTGACAGCACTAGTTACCTAGCAGCAGTAATACTCGCTGTCAGTCCCATCCCCACGGCACTCTGCTCCTGCTAATGTCTGTGTAACGCTTGCATCACATTGTTTTCATTACAGTCCTCTGGCTGATGACTCAGAGCTTAAAACCTGCCAGATATTAGTAGAAGAGACACAGAGATAGAGGATGTATTATTGTTGTGCTCCAGAAGGGGATGACTCTCCTCAGTTTCCTGGAGGAACACACGATCATCGGAAACCAAACAGGGCTACTGGGCCCGAGTCCATTCTGTCTGGCAAACACAGGAAACAGGAAACTACCCCCAATTCACTTCCTGATTGGCTGGATTAGACTACAAAAGAATTGTGTTTTTTCCTGCATGGCAACAAGCTAATGCAAAGCAGATGTATGGAGACACAGAGTGAGGGACAGAGGTGGCGTCTCACTTGCAGGGGCAGGCTGTGCTTCATCTGTCAGCATCTGGGTCTCCGTCAGTGCTAAGACAGAGAGGGGGGGGGGGGGGGGTCTCAGTGGCACAGCTGGAGTTGGGACTTTGCACTAATTAACAACAACATATGTGCATTTGACTTCTCTGTCAACGCTAGAAGCACCATTTGACAAACCTTAGGTGGAGTGAAAAAGACATCAAACAATTTACAGTATTGGTTTAAATATGTAAAAAACGAATAACTTCAAAGGGGAACTTGGTCCATTTTCAATACCCATATATGTTATTTCAATTATCCAAGATGGTCAAAAAAGTTAGTGAACGTGAACAGATTTTTCTAAATCCAAAAAATAGAAAACTAATTTGTGATATCACCAATTATAAAGTCTGGAACAGCTCCATAATGAATTGGGAAATATGTTATCGATGACGTTAAGACATGTTTAGGCCTTGGAAATGACATATTGGAATCTTTCATTTTAGTGGTGTTCCCCTGTACATGATGAAACAAATGATTGTCGGTGCATTTGCTGTTTGCTGTTTAATCCCAGGTTAAAGGTTTTAGAGTAACAAGAGTTCAGCGAGTGCCAGGTAGCAG